ATATGTAAAGCACACTATGACTCTTAATAATAGTCTTGTATTGAGTGAGCCCAGTTCAAAAGTCTTTAATAAGTGAAATGTTCATGGATAATGCATACTTGTAAATATCCCCATCACCTGAATTCCATATGAAGGCTAGTATGTTCATGTTTCTTAGATTCAAAACTGATTTAATTATTATAAGTATATTCAATTGCTTTATTAGGACTTTATTAGGACTTGAAAAAAAGCTTGATATTTTCATGTTATTGATGACATTTTGCTCAATTCTTAATTTAGAATTCCCAGGTGAACTGACTAAGATTGTTAAAGGAACAATCCTGTATGCTAAAAAAGTAGAAATCATTAACTCTCTATTATTTAAAACAACAGTTGTTCATCATATAATTGATAATTTTATATACTACTGGATATAAAATATATTTTCTGACCACTCACAGAAAGATAAGTTACATTTCAAATAGCTATGACATAAAACTTGAAATTTTTAACTTTGGGATTTTAATAAATAGTTTTCAGTATCTTGAGTCTGGAGTTTTATCTATTATAAAACAACAAAGTATAGCAGAAAAAGTGATTGGTTACTCTCATGACATCCATGTCACTATTGTACCAATGGGCAAATCTTGCCAGGTTTGTCATTATTGTAGTTCACTAAGTCCACATCTGGATAAGACTGATTACTTTCCTCCTCCAGTAGCATGAAAATCACCTTTCTGATTGGATTTAAGTCCTGCTTTACAAGAAGGAATCCATATCTGGCATCATTATTGGGGCCAAGAATCTGTGACTACACAAGTCATAGACCTCACCGAAGAACATACTAATACTACTATAATTTTGATAAAACGGCACAGTATTAAACTGACTCAATAATTTATTGTAATTCCAGTAGATTATTGTATCTCTCAACCCTCCTCAGAGAAGCGTCCTCTCATGGTGATTAACACAGAGACCCACAGTTGGTCAAGGTCCAGAGACAAAGAGACTACAGAGTGCTCAGTCCTAAATGAGACATATATATCACATCTTGTCCTCCCAAATCTTAGGGATCATTGTGGAAGGAGAAGCAGAAAGATTCTAAGAGGCAGAGGCAGTGGATAACTACAATGATACAGTGTTTTCTAGGAACAATAGAACAGGTGAATTCATAACAGTTTTGACAACATGCACACGACCTACACAAACTGAAGCTAGTCAAAACCTAGTCCGAAGTGAGAGTGGGGCATAAAGTCCCACTCTCTAATGAGGAGATTTGGCAACTGATAGTGGTTGGGAGTTGAGGAATTTGTTTTCTTAAGATGGTGGCCCCTGGTAAGTTAACCACACTCCAGTGGATGGCCACACACTCCAGAGTGTATGACAGCACAGATTGGATTCCATAGGTTTAAAAATTATGAAGACACAAAGTTGGGTGAGTAGAGAAATGGGGTGGGTCTTGAAAGAGTTAAGAGAGTGATGGTGAATATGATCAAACTACAATGCATGAAATCTCAAAGAATTAATAAAATGTGCATTAAAAGTATAGCATAGAAACTTAAATGCTACTTGGTTATTCTGATGTGGTCCTTAAAAACACAATATTCTCTGTGAAATATCCTTGTTTTATGTTTCAATCTTTTCTTTCTTAATAAACTCTCCCATAAGTTGAATAATAATAATTTGTTGAGTTCTAAACTTCCAACTTCATCACATCCCTCTCTCTAAAACATCAATTAATTTTTTGTATTAGATATATTCATTAGATCTTTGGAACTTGAAGTTCAATATATCTGAATTACACTGATATTCTCCCCAACCCTAAGGAATCTACTGCTCCTTCTTTACCACTTTTTATCTCAATTCCTGGGAGCTAGACTAATAGGTACCTTGACTGTATGTTTTCTGCCTCCCTAGGATCCATGTTAAATCTGAACTAACACTTCTGTAATGTGAAACAAATATTTTTTTCCACTCTTTACTATAAATTCTACCATATAGAGTTTTTCTCTTTTCAGTTACTTGACTTACTGGCCACCCAGTCTTTAGATTCACCTACTTTCATTCTAAGCAAACAGTAAGCAAGCCTCCAATGGCTCCTACCTGCTTGCATGTTAAACTCTAGCATCTTTACATAGTTCAAAAATTATCTTATAATCTGCTCCCAATTGACCTCACTGACAATAAATATTTTCCTACCAAGCATTTGGGCTTGAGCTGAGCTGCAGTCTATCACTGTTACCTTCAAAACCTAGGAATATTGCTGTAGGTTTCCAATTTTACTTTCTCTTTTCCTTGTTTTCCACTTCTCCCTTAGTAAAAATCCAAATCATCCTTCAAGTTCAAAACCAAATATTAACTCCTCATTAAGCCCTACCCCAACTGTTTTATCAGCTACATCACCTCTCTACTTTTGTAGAATTCTATTCATGATTATGGTATGCCATGTAATAATTATTGTGTAATTGAAACATTGTTCAATTTTATGTTAACCAAGGGAAAAGATGGCAACATCCCATTCAGCTTCTATCACAGTGACTTCAAACTGTAAATCCTCAACAACTCTTTGTTATGAGTTGACTTAAAACTTTAATATAAGATAAAAAATATAATATCTTCCATGTGTCATAGCATATATGTTTGTATATAAATATCACAGGTACATACACTATGTACAAACATTGTTTATTTATGATATAATATGCATTTGCACATGTTTTCATGCAAGGAAACACCTAATGGCTGAATAGATTTTTAAATATCATCTTCTGTAATCACTGAATACTACCAAGAACTGTGAGACTTCACTGTAGTCTGTAGCATGTAGTGACAGTTAAAGTTCATGTCCCAGATCTTCATCCCTCCAAACTTCCATTTTTAGGATCTCACCGGTAATGCTATATTAATAATAAACTCCTACAGCAAGCTGAAGCTCCCCTCACTGGTATAGACATCCTGAACTGTTTCATCCTCTTATCCCATTTCCCTTCCTTCTTTTCTCTTTTTAAAAAATCTAAATTAAATTGACTTGTTTTCTTCAAATGATGCATACTCATGAATCTGTCACCTCTGTATTTTAAGGTACAATGTAACCCTTCCTTTTATATTTGTGCTAGTTCCCCATAGAACCAGTTTAACTCCTTTTAGATATAGTATACCCTTCTTTTCTCTCAGGAGTAAAAATGAAGATGTTAGTATTTTGTGCAGCAGTTCAATTCTCTATTATCTCCCACTAAACTAAGGATGATCACAAAAGACATAGCATCATCGTACTCATCATGCTGACTTCTGTTTGCACAAAATTTTACAGCTTATCAGTTATCTTTTCATAGCCCACTTGATTTCGCCATACTGTAGATTCAACAGCAAGTGCTATCACACCGGAGGCAGCTGAGAAAGTAGGGGTCAAAAGTTAAGTGAACCCAATGTTCCTACGGCCAGTCAGAGCTGAAACTGGCACTGGAATCAAGGTCTCCATTCCCTTGCTCCTGAGAGCATCCTACTGATTTAAGCTATTTATTGGTTTGTGTTCCCACCATAACATTAATGTTGCCATATATTGGCACCTGAGAGTCAGCACAGTGAATGTTGTCTAGGCTCTTTTCCATCTGAATTACTACTTGGCTCTTGTTACTTTGATAGGAAAACTTCAGCTAGATCAGCTGGCACTGTTTTATCTATTACCTACCTGAGAAGGTCTTGCCAAGCTCTCATATAGTAGCATTCACCAGAAGTTTAGAAAAAACATTCAGTTCTTGATTTAAAATCAAAGGAATTGATTTAATTTTATCCATATTCATCAGCCAACCACTTTAAAGTGTTAGCCAGAATAATTTTGCTTTTTCAAATCTGTGTGTGCATATTCCAAGATAATCTGTGTTTTATCTTTCAATAATGTTTTATGTACTCTCACTAAGTTGCTTGGATAAATACAGGTTCATTAAACCTTCAGGATATCAATGTGATTTTATTATAAATGTGTCTGTCTTCTCAGTAGGGGCTGAGGACCCTGAAGACAGGAAGGAAACCCATTCTCAGTCCCTGGATTGTGTTCTCAGATGGCTTCAGCATCCTCCCCGAACTCTCAAATTGTCACCCAGCACCAAGCAACAGGAATACTTCCTTCTTTTTTTTTTTTTTTTTTTTTTTAAATGAGCATCTGAATGAAACAGAAATATTCCTTTTTTTTTTTTTTTTTTTTTTCTTTAAATGAGCATCTGAAGTCTCAAGCTAGCCCAGGAATTCCAACTCCCTTAGTGGACAGAGGAATCCCTCAAGAAAGGGAAGTGGGGAGCCCTCCTTTGGTTTTGGTTTCTGTCTGTCTCTGCTTTGCTGGGACTTGTAAATGCTTTGCAGCGAGAGCTGCTACCTTTCTTGGTTGGTGGAAAAGCAAAGCTGAAAGACTTCTCTTAAGGAAGGAAAAGTTTCAAAGCTCACATGCTAATCACTGCACACGGTAAAAATTACTTTAACTCACTCGTTAAAAATTGCGCTGTCCAGTCTCCCTGGAAGGCTCCTGGGAATTTCCTATACCTCTGTTAGAACCTCCCTCACGGATCTTGTTCCCGAGTGTCCCATTCACCACAAAGCTACACTTAACAAATTCAACTTCGTGCCGACATTTATCACAGCGTTAAGCGTACTGCTTGCCTAAACAGGGCATAAACAAGGGCGAAACTGTTTGTTCCTTGTAGAATGTCATTTTAGAAAGTCAGGAAAACGCAAACCTAGAGGTTAAAAACTCTTCGTTTCATAATGAAAGTGCAGAGCTGGCCTCATTAACTACAGGACTGCGAGAGAAATATCCCAGTGACTCACTGTTGCCTCTTAGTTGTTATGTTGCTCTTTCCTGACGGCATAGGACATGACCTAATTTGCTTGCAGGAATTATACTTTTGACCGGAGACCCTCAGCTTAATCGGGACCATCTGGACGCACTGGGCTCACTTCAGAAACCCCTAGTTCCGGATCGTGTACCCAAATGTGGAGATGGAGGAATGGGGCAACTCTGTGCCACTTACCGGTCTTCCACAGATAGAGGGTGGGAGCCTCCGCGCCGCCCGGAGCCGCAGCCCCGTGGGCGCCTGAGCTCAGCAGCAGCAGCAGGAGCAGTGGCAGCCGAGGCAGCTGCAGGACGCCCCGGCTCTGGGACGCCGGACGCCCAGCTCGCAGCCCCATGCCGCCCTCAGCCGCTCCAGCCTCCAGAGCCACAGCACGCTCGCCGGGCGACGGTCCTTCCTTCCCAGCCAGCAGAGAAAGCAAATCTCTGAGCTGCTGCTATTGTTCGCTCCAGATGAAAGGCAGCCAAAGAGCGACTAACACCAGGGAACAATAGCATCCGCGGTGGCCCTGGACGCCGCCGCTGCTGCGGCTGGCTGGGATGCTGGCAGGGATGCTGCCGCCTCTGCCATGGCGCGCAGAGTGGCAGGTCCTAGCGAGGGACGCAGCCGGCCGCAGGGGGCCCCAGCTGACGGAGTGGAGCCAGAAGCTCTGCGAGGCGGCTCAGCCCCCGCCGCCAGCTGGAGGGAGGAGAGGGGGCCGCGAGCCGAGAGGAGCCGAGGGGACCCGAGGGGACCGCAGGCGGAGGGCCAGCACCCAGACCCCAACGTGCCCGCCCCCGAGAACTCCGGTGCACATGGTGCGCTGAAATATATTCGCAGGGATATACCAATAAAAAGCCGGCAGGCTTCAGGATGACGAATAACTGGCATTGAAATTCATCGTCACCGGAGTCAAACGCTAGATCTAGTGGCGTGTTATTATTCCTGAATATTTGCACAAAGCATCAGTGTTGGTCATTTATTCTGAAGCAAGGGCTTCTGAATTTATGAGAGGAGCGGTATTTATGATCCGATAAGGCGACAGAGGAAGACTCGTCAAAAGGCACTTGAGCACTTTCTTAAACGTTTGTTTTAACTTAAATCCATTCTCAGTATAGTGTGAGCGAAGGGAGCGTGATCAGTGACAAATTCAACACACTGTCTTCTAATCGCTTTTGAAACTGAACTGGTGTTTAAGGATGTGCACAACGCTGTCTAACTGCATGAATAAGAATGCATGAACACCCTTCACAGGATTACATTTCAACCACGAAGTAAATAAAAGTTCTATCTACTTCTCTGTTGAAAACATTTATTCTTCTAAGTATCTAGACTGTGGTGAGAAAGATCAAAAGGCAAATGGGTCAGTAACATTGCTTGGATATCTCCCAATTAGCAAATGCTTTTACTAAAAAATCATTACTGACACTAATACCTCTTGATTCTATTGTTTAAAAAATGCCTTTCATAACTAAAATAAGGAGCCACAGGCTTCTGTGCTATGGTTGTGTTTTTAGTTTCTTGGGTAAGTACTAAAAAAATGTGCAGTCAGATAATGCTTTATTCTTTCTATTTTCCTTTCTCACTATAACAATCTTTTGTTAGTAATTCATTTCCTTGTAAAACTAAAATAGTATCAAGGCATTTAGCCAGTTTAAAAAAAAAAAAAAAAAAACACCCTCAACAACCAAAAGGCTACAGAAAACTATTCTCATTTGGTTAGCAAGCTTATGCCAAATACAAGAAGATTTAAAAAGCAAGAAAACTTCTCTTTGTGACTTTACTCTAAGGAGCCAGTCACCCATGAGTTGGAAATGAGGAAGCTACTGTTTCTTAGGGAGGAAACCTTCCACTGGGCTCCCTGGGGATGCTTGTCATTTTGCTGAGCATTCCAGACACAGCCATTCTGCATGCATTAGATTAAAAGCAGGTTTGATCAAATAATTCCCAAGGCCTGCCTACTTAAATATTCTGACATCAGAGGAAATTAGCTACGTTCAGGGTTGCAAATTTGGTCTTTGTTTACTTTTCACTCTGTTAGTCCTCTAAGAGGGAATTAAAAGCTCTGGGAGCCTTGTGAGCACTCAGTGTCTGTGATTAGAGGTGATAAGCCAGGGTGGCTTACTATTTCTACTCTGGTGAAAAGTAGGCAACAATCAAAAGATTATAGGTTGATAAGGGATACAAAGGAAGCCTGGTCCTAACTAATGCATGCCTCCCTGAAGGAGCACTTCCTTCAAGGCTCACAAAATCAACGAAGAAAAAAGACCTGCCGTTGCCTCCTGGGTTCTGTCCTCAGAAAAATCTGTGTGCAGTGCTACTTTACAAAGAGCATCTTCCTACCCTGTCTGTTTATATTTCTCAGCTATTGTTGGTGCCCCAAACCATGAAATCCTCAAACCTCACACCACAGGTTCTCTGTTAATAATGCCTATCCACAGCATTCAAAAGCCTCAAATCAATTCACACCAGGTGGAGATTCATTATATAATAGAGAACAGAGAATATAAGGAGTCAAATGAGTGCAATTAATGTGCAAGGTGATTACCTAGACCTCCAAAAGACTGTCAGACACCAGTCAAAATTTAGGAGTGCGATTTTTTTATTTAGCCATGGTTGGGTAATAATTGCCCATTCACTCAAGACAGTAAACATTACAGCTATAACTTCGGGCATTGTAGGTAAGAAATAAGGCCAGCTTCTAAATCATCATTTGTTGTCCTTTAAAGTATACAAGTAGGATAGTATGTTCTGCAATAGTGTTTGAATTAGCCATCAATTGGCTCCCCTCATTTAATTTCAACTTGAAGCTTAGGGGATTTCACTAGGAGTAGATATCTAAATAGTGTTGTAGAAACTGAGTCATCTGAACATCTGTCTCCACATATCTGTTTATAACAATGTCACTAATGCATTTGAGGACAAAAATGTATGGGTCTCTGAAAAGACAAAGATATATAAAAAAAAACATCTAGATACATATTCCTCTGTGAAAAGAAAACTGTCCACTTGGATAAATACCATCGATAAACCTGATAGATGGCAAGAGATAGTAAGACATAGCAATCTTTATTTTCTAGAATGCACTATAAATAATACACAAATGTTTAATGACATGATGTCAAAATTTAGTCATGAGAAGTCTCAAGGATGCAGATTAAATTGACCATCTGTACAGCCTGCCATAAAGTAAATCGTTCATCATTGTTCATGAACTGTTCAAGTATTAATGAACCAGCACTATAAAAGTTTTTCAAACCAATAGATGACAAATGGAAAGCAATTTTTAATGTTTAAAAATAACACAATTCTGAAACCATCACCTCCTATGTACAATGTCAATAATTGGACTTTGTTGCCTTTGCTGTCATTTTAAAATTCGAGAAAATGGGGAAATGTATCTTCTATACAGATGCCTTCTTTTTTATTAGGAAATAAGCATATAAATATACTTCTTGACCCCAAAATATTTATGGTCATGACTTCCTGTGATTAGTACCTGTATTTAAAAGCAATAATAATGACATTTAGTTACTTGATAAAAAAGAAACTTTTAATGTTATTAGTTTTTTGAATATGATACAATATAGACACAATTATTTATTGATAATATGTTTGTTTTGAAACAAAAATCTTAAATTTTTTTCACATGAATGCATCTTATATCCATCAACAACAACAACAAACCCCAAAGGAATTCTATTTGTACATCCTCTAGGTGTCATACTTGATCAAGATTTGTGTTCAATAAACTTCATCCATCCTATCCTTCTTTGCTACATCCATTAAATTATAAAAGATAAAACATTTCACTTTTGATCTTTGTGTTAAGTAGCCATATATCTTACCTTCTTCTTAATTTTAAATTTTCTTTGATTTATTTTTTTTATTTGTATGAATATTTGCCTGCATGTATATAAGTGCACTTATGTGTGCAATGTCTGTGGAGGCCATAAGAGGACGTCACATCCCCTGGACTTTCTTTCTAACATTGACTCCCCTATTTATTCTCACTTTCCCTTCCATTTTCTTTTTATTCCCAAACTCTTTACCACAGTGTTTGGTTGGTTTGCTTGTTGGTTGACTGATTGATTTGTTGCTTTGGAGTTTTATATAGTAAGAAGGAAGATTCTAAATTTAAATTTTAAATTAATTTTACAAATAACTTTATATATTCTTCATTTTATTAATTATTAAAGCTGTTTGGAAATAAAAAAGATCTATTCCAAGTAGTTAGGCCCCTTCTTTTGTGCATCAAGTGAAATTACCATGTTTTGTTTCAGATCCTCCTGAATGTTGGGAATAGATCACTCACAATTTACCTTACACTGAGAAAGGCTCCCATTCCAGGTAGTATGTAAGACATCAATGGTCCTTGCAAAGGTAGCAGTCAACAGTGTAAGCAATTTACCAGTGATGACTTGATATATTGGTGTTTACAGAAGCATAATGCAAAAGCCTTGGATTTCAGCAAATAATAGAAAAAAATGAAGTATGAAAAAGAGAATTCCTCTTTGGTAGTTAAAAAAAAAAAAAAGTCTTCTTCAGAACTGATAAGTTTAAAGATAACTAGAAGATTGTTGAAATGAAGCCTAAAATCCTAAGACCAAGGGAAAATCTGTTACTTGTATGTGGTACAAGTTCATCTGGTTGGATGCCACACGTTTTTTTCATTTCACCGGGATCCTCTGACTTTTCAAAGCCTTCAGTAATGGCCCATTATTTCTCATTAAGAAGTGGTATATACTTTCACTTGCAAGGCTGGCCTCAGTCGCAGCCCAAGATAGAAATGGCAGGAAAAAGCCTCACCAATAGGATGAATGAAACGGAAAACAGAATATCAAGACTGGAAGATAAAGTTGAGGAATTAGACCTCTCAAGCAAAGAGTACAAAAAATTTAAGAAAACACAGGAATGGAAATGTGTGACACCATAAAAAGACCAAATTTACACATCATGGTCATAGAGAAAGGAGAATAATCTCAGGATAATGGTATGGACCAGATTTTCAATATGATTGTAGAAGAAATTTTCTCAAAATTAAAGAAAGACATGCCCATACAAATACAAGAAGCACACAGAACATCAAACAGACGGGACTAGAAAAGAAACTCTCCACATCATATCATCATAAAAATGGTAAATGTACAGAACAAAGAGAGAATACCGAAAGCTGCAGAAGACAAACAAGTCACATGTATAGGAAAATCCATCAGAATTAGAGCTGACTTTTCAGTGAAAACTATGAAAGCCAGAAGAGTCTGGTCCCAGTTCTAAATGACCACAGATACCAACCCAGAATATTTTACCCAGCCAAAATATCTATTATTGTTAAAGAGGAAATAAAATAATCTTCTATGACATAAATAGGCTGGAAGAACTCATGTCTACAAAACCAGTGCTTCAGAGAATTCTTGAAGCAATACAAGAGCTGAAGAAAGGAAGGACTATACTCAAGGGGTAACAGAAAGAAACAAATGAAGGTAAAACTGTGAAAACACATAGTTAGATCAAGAATGCAAACAGAAATCAAAATAACAGGAATCAATACACATCTTTCACTAATAATTTTAAATATCAATGGACTGAACACCCCAGTCAAAAGACACAGCTTAGTAGAATGGATTAAGAAACAAAACCCATCTTTTGTTG